CGTCTATTTCTACTAAGAGCGAAGCTTCTAATATCACTTCTCAGAGGATTCAGTCAGGGTCACCTTGAGATTGAATATCTTTGTTTAAGTAGAGTTGCCTTTGTTTCTTTTATACCTTGTTTTTCAGTTAAGCTATTTGCCTTTTCCCCCTAATGCATAGGGTTGTTAGATTCCACAAATTTACATCCAATTTCACTATTGTTTTAAACAATGCCCTAGGACAAAAATTACTCTACAGTCTGATCCAATTAAATTCAAGCAAGGACAGTTTTTCAGTTCAGATTTTGATGTTTGTTCAACCCACAAGGACTCTTTTTCAGTTATTTCTTCTCTAAGCTGTTTCTGATAAACTAGTTGGTTTAGTTTTGTGCTCTGATAAAGCAGTGTTCAGTCTCCTCTTAATTGCTCATTTACCACCCAAATGTCCATTATTTCTGAGAGTCCAAAGGCTTGAATTTCCCAAAATTGTTTCAAATAAAGTCAGTTCTTTGCAAAGACCTTCAGAACAAACTGTTCTTATTTACTTACTGCTTTTGGAATAAACTGAACTTATTTACTTACTGCTTTACTTCTTAAACAAAAAATTGGAGGCACAGTTCTAAATGCTCTATCATGTAGTTGATCCTTTTGGCTCACCTCCTGATAGGACACTGCCCTAAATGACAGCAGTGTTAAAAGTGAATAGGCTCAGGGAAGGTAGGGAGGGAAGGGATGGTAGGGAGAAAACAATAGAAGGGGTAACAATGCTCAATAGGAAGTGTACTCATTACCTTACTCATGTAACTGTAACCCTCTGTATAGTATCTTTACAATAAAAAAAAAGTGAATAGGGTCTCAGTATTCTAATACATGAGACATTTTAGTTAACTATGCCTTCATTCTCTATGGGGTTGGGTAAATGAGTGAAAGTTAACCTTTTGGTCACAATGATTAAGAATTTAGCCTCCCCGATCAGGGCTGAAGGCATGAAAAATGATGAAGGTCAGTCCATCCCAGACAGATACACTTAACTTGTGGTTGAGGACAAGGAACTCCACACTCTGGGTCACATTGCCCAGAGTAAACCTATCAACCTGAATCAGTGTAGACAAAGTAGTGAATGGTGGCTCCAGTGCCAAAGAATGTTTTAACTCATATTTACCTTTACTTGAATAATTTTGTCATTTGCTGTAGGCATATAGAGCAATGTTCTGATACTTTCAATGATTGTTTTCCTATAATTCTCATCAGTTATGATTGCTTCATTGCAGAATAAGTTCCTTGAGTTCCTCATGCACTATTTGCAAAAGCCAATGTACTGATAATCCCAATTTTAAAAAGTATCTTATACTATAAAGTCTATATAGCTTTTTATGTATATAATCTATATGTAAATTTTATGCATATAAAATAAAAAGAAAGCAAAAACAAAATAGGATATCACCAAAAAGTTTTAAAAGAAAGTGCAAGCTAAGTCATCTTTAAACCCAGCTACTGGGGAAGACTGGGGCAGGAAGATTGCAAATTCAAAGCTACCTAGGGGAAAGATAATTAGACAATGTCTGGTATCTCACAAACAAAATGAAACTAGTAAATGGAAGCCCCTTTGCTAGGAAGGAAGGAAGGAAGGAAGGGAGGGAGGGAGGGAGGGAGGGAGGGAGGGAGGGAAGAATTAAATGAAAATGAAATTAAATGAAAATGTAATAAGTGGTCCTTTAAATTTTTCTATCAGGGTTTATAAAAAACTGAGATAGTTGTGCAAAAAGTTAGGAGCAACACATTTACTTAACCTTCCAAATCAGAAACATTAGCTAACTTTTCCTTCTTTCTCTAAATATCTAAGATATCATCAAGTATTATTGCTTCCACTTGGTTGGTTCAATGGTATTTTTGAAATCAAATTTTTTTCTCCTACTTCATTTATTTAATAATAATAGATGGCTAGGCACCAGTGGCTCACGCTGCTGGTAAGCCTAGCTACTGAGGAGGCTAAGATCTGAGGATCCTGGTTCAAGGACAGGCAGGGCAGAAAAGTCCATGAGACTCCTATCTCCAATTAGACACCAGAAAACTGTAAGTGGCGCTGAGGCTCAACTGGTAGAGTACTTGCGATGAGCTGAAGAGCTCAGGGACAATGCGTAGGCCCAGAGTTCAAGCCCCACAACAATAGCAAAAAAAAAAAAAAAAAAGAGAGAGAAAGTAATAGATGAACTTAAACTTTTTTTTAAAATGCTGTCCCAAAATATATAAATATTTGAATATTAAATTTTCTGGAGATCAAATTTTTGAGCCATTATAAAAATATTTCAAGAACTAACATACTCATGATTTTTGCCTTTTAAGAACACTGTAAGTGACCTATAGCCATCTAATCTTCGATAAGGGAGCTAAAACAATAGAATGGAACAAAGACAACCTCTTCAGTAAATGGTGCTGGCAAAATTGGTTAATTACATGTAGAAAACTTATATATCACCCTGTACCAGAATCAACTCCAAATGGATCAAAGACCTTGAGCTCAAAGCAGACACTCTGAAAACATTACAGGATGGAATAGGAGAAACCCTGGGTCTCCTTGGCTCAGGCCGAAATTTTCTGAATAGAGACCCGGAAACACAACAAATCAAAGAAAGGTTGGACAAATGGGATTGCATAAAGTTGCAGAGCTTCTGCAGGGCAAATGACATAGCTAGCAAGATCAATAGAAAGCCCACGGATTGGGAGAAGATCTTTACTAGCCATACAATGGACAAGGGTCTCCTATCTAAAATATACTTGGAACTCAAAAAATTAAACCCCCCAACAACAAATCCTCAAAGAAACAACTGCCCAATAAATAAGTGGGCGAAAGACTTGAAGAGAAACTTCTCTGAAGAAGAAGAAGGATGGCCAATAGACACATGAAGAAATGTTCAACATCCCTAGCCATAAAAGAAATGCAAATCAAAACAACATTGAGATATCACCTCACTCCAGTGAGAATGGCAAAAATCAAGAACTCTAACAACAACAGATGCTGGAGGGGATGTGGACAGAAAGGAACCTTACTTCATTGTTGGTGGGAATGTAAACTTGTTCAACCACTTTGGAAAGTAGTATGGAGGTTCCTCAAAAGACTTCACATAGAGCTCCCCTATGACCCAGCAATCCCACTTTTGGGCATTTACCCTAATGTTTACAAACAAGACCACACTAAAGCTACCAGCACAACTATGTTTATTGCAGCATTATTTACCATAGCTAAGATATGGAACCAACCCAGATGCCCCTCAGTAGATGAATGGATCAAGAAAATGTGGTATATATACACAATGGAATTCTATGCCTCCATCAGAAAGAATGACATTGCCCCATTTGTTAGGAAATGGAAAAACTTGGAAAAAATTATATTAAGTGAAGTAAGCCAGGCCCAAAGAAACGTAGGTCCCATGGTTTCCCTTATTTGTAATATCTAGTATATGTATGAGTCAAGCGGAAAAGGTCAGATAATGTGATGTCAGGAAAATGAACCCTTAGATGTGTATTTTAAGGTTTTTTTCTTTCATGCATGTGTTTCTAACACATTTATAAGATTATCTCTTTGTTGCTTTGTATGTCCCTCCCCCACAGTATAACCCCTGCTTTCACTATATTTGATGTCAGTATAACTTGTGGAGGAGATGGGGAAAAACCAGTTGTTTAAGGATACAGGTGGACCTGTTGCAACAATGAGAAGTACAAGTTGTCATGTCCAAAACGAGCTTTACAACGTTGGTGCGGGGGGGGGGGGGGGGGGGGGGGGGAGAAGGAGAAGGACTGGGATTGGGGGGGGGGAGGGGGGAGGCTGGGAAGGGATGTGAAGGGTAAACAAAGGAGGAGGCTGCAATGCTTGGTAAGAAATGTACGCATTATCCTGCCCATGTAACTGTAACTCCTCTGTACAGTATGTTCACAAATAAAATAAAATTAAATTAAAAAAAAAAAAGAACACTGTAAGTAATCAAATTAACATTAAGAACACTTAAGCAATCAAAGAAAATTAATTGCAAGGTTATTTTATTTATTTCCATTTCATAATCTCAAAAATGAGGGCTAAGGATTAGGCCTAACATTTCCCTCAGTTAAATTCTCAAAAATTATGAGTTTACATTTAGTTCAACAAGTTGAAATGAGTTTCCTTAAAAATTTTTAATGCTAGATAAAATTGTGCTAAATAAAATTATGTCCTAATTGTTGACAATGACCTCGTATTAGAATAATTGATATATTGGAACTAATTACATATAATCTAATAATGAATTAAAGACAAAGCAAATAAATTATAGATTTACTAAAACTAAAATGATGAAGGTGATAGTAAAAACTTTATTCAAATTAAGCATTCTGATTAGGTAAGATTCTTACATGTAATTGTTAATCTTATCTAGTATTCTTGGTCCTAAATACTATGACCAAAATCAAATTTCATTTATGAAACAGATAGTAAAGTTAGTTCACAACATATTATAAACTGCTTTTATACGAGGGTAAAGTGCACTTAGATGATTAATATTTAATAAAACAGTAAAAATTTAGAGAAAGGAAATTATATTATTTTAATAAGGTGGTTTCTCAATGTGTGATACAAATTCTAAATGAAATTGATGTCTGTGTTTCACAATGAACCAGAAAATATTTATAACAAAACTGATATTATTTAATTGGTGAAGCAATACAAGAAAAAGAAATAGCAACAAAATAAACAGATAATCCACTATATATACGAATTTTTATATAATGTTTGGTACATTTTCAATGAGTTGCTTAGAGAAAGGTTTTGTATTAATTCTTCTAATATTTTTCTCAGAAAATGTACTGTAAATGATAGATAAAATTTGACGATGACTTCCTGTTACACATATTTTAAAAATTTAGGTACAGTAATCTAGAATTTAATGATGTACCAACATACACAAAGACAAAGATATAGAGAAAAAGCAACTATTTTCCCACTTCCCACTAAGATATTAAGTCTTTAAAGAGGTAAAAGTGCCATACTATACCTTGATTTCTTCTATTTCATCTGGTACTATCTTGTATGCTGATATAGTCCCACCCAACCTGAAATTAGGAGAAGAGAATATTCTCAAAACCAGCAACAGTGTATGAAAAATATGGAAAATTGATGCCATTAGTATGAGAGTGTCACCAATAGTTTCCTAAGACTCATACCAATGATTATGGAGGAAAACTTTTTGTGCTTAAGTTTTCTATTTATTATATCAAAAAAGACTAAAGAAAAGAAGACCCTATCAGAAAAATAGCTATAGCAAAAAGGGTTGGAGGTGGCAGAACACCTGTCTATCAAGAAGCCCTTAGTTCAAACCCCATTATAACAAAACAAAATGAAAAACAAAACAAAGAAAACAGAATGAAGAGAGGAAGAGGGGGAGAATGCAGTCATAAAAATTCAATGCACGGGCGGGGGGGGGGGGGGGAGGATTGGGTGGGGGGGCTAGGGGAGGATGGGAAGTGATGGGAAGGGGAAACAAAGGAGGAAGCTACAATGCTTGATAAGAAATGTAGTCATTATCTTGCCCATGTAATTGTGACCCCTCTGTACAGTATTTTCACAATAAAAAAAAATTCAATGCACATCCTACAAAATAAAGAAAATTGAGATAAGGGGTATGATTGGGAAGGAAATATGAGAATGATGAAAAGGATAACACAGATCAAAATGCATTGTATTCACAAACTGCGTTGTATACCTAAAGACAATTGGAATGTACTCTTTACCTGATTTATATAACTGTAACCCCTTTATAATAACAATAAAAATAAAAAAACTAAAAAAGAAAAAAAAACAGTCATAGAAGAAGATAGATAGTATAGAATAACCTATCTCTGAGCAACTGACTTTTTTAGTTTATATTCTTTGAGTTCAAGCCCCACGACTGACAATAAATAAATAAATGACTTTTGGTTTACATTCTATTGTAAAAAATATTGCTAGATAAGTTTCACATTAATAATTTTAAATATTATCATCTTGTATAATTCAATGCCACTAATTACATTCTCATATTTATGTTTATTTCCAAAACATCTACATAAACCAAAACAAAAAAGCCTTCAAATATTAAACAATAATTCTATTTTCCCCAAACCTGTATGCTGTTAATCCATAGTGTACTTTCTGTCCTATGAAATTTATCTCTTCTTGACATGTCATCCAGTAAGTGGAATCATGTTGTATCAAAATTATTTTACCAGGCATAATGTGTTTCCATAGTTCCTTCATGTTGGAGCATGTAGCAAAACTTTATTCCCTTTTACTGTTAAATATAGTTGGACATAGTATCCCCTTATTATTTTGATTGATGTAGCAATATTGTCACTTCCATTTGTAATTTCAGTTTTTATACCTCTGCTGTTCCTTTCAAAATAAAGAATCAAGTTTTTGTTTCCTTGATTATTTCTATTGCTTTTCATTTTCAACTTCACTCATTTCCACTTTACTCCTTATTATTCCCTCTTTCCTTCCATAATGTGTTCTGTTCTGTGTGTCATTTTTTTCTTTTTCCTTTTTTTCTCATGTAGTTATTTTGATTTACTTTGAATTTATTTTTATATACTTTACATATTTTCTTTGTATTTATCATGCAGGGTATATTTAATATCCTAAATTCATAACAATCTAGTCTGAATTGATATAAACTTAACTTGAATAGTGTTAAAAAAAACACTGTTCCTAGACAGTTCCACTTGCTATCTTGCCATCCGTTTTCCCTTCATGCCTTTAGTACATATGAATTACATCTAACAATATACATCTAGTAAGTCATCTGATACATAATAACTTAATATATTAATCTATATTGGGTTCACATATATTATCTTAAGTTTGATAGGACAATTCTAAACCTTATCCCTTATTCCACTTCACCTGACCAGTCCTTCTGAGTTTTAGCCATACTCATAAAGACAGCAAGCAATCTCCTGGAATTATGCCCTATTCTGAATGTCGGCTTTGCAAACTCCTAATTATCCCTTAAGATCCAAGTATGTTACAGAAGCTCTGGACACAGGGATATGTGTCTATTACGATGAAAAAGTACCTCACAAACATCTACATTATCTCATCAGAAATATTTACTTTGAGATCTACAACTTTTATTAGATTCTAAACATCTAGCGCATACTAAATTCTTAGTCTGGTAACTGACAAAAATGAATATTAGAGGAACTAAAAATAGCCAAGAGATTTTCCACTAATCTTCAGTAAATCCTTTGTTTAGGGGCAACATCTCTATTTTAATGTTTTTTTAAATCAAATATATCTTGTACATGTATTATAATACACACTGAGTTCTTCTGCAAAATAATTGGGCCACGTTCCACTCTCAAAGTTTTCATCTTGACTGAAGAAGCAAGCATTGTTTACTGATTTTCATAAGCAGCTGAAAAAATGCATATATTATACCTTAATGAATCACTTGTGCTTCAGAGTATCTAAAATATCTCTATACGTGGATTGATTCTTGACACTTGTAGGAGTTATCACATTAGTTTATATATTTTCCTAGAAAGATATTGTCTAAATTGTGGCAAAAAAATATATAAATCCCATTTGTAAGCTCCTATTCAATATAAAATCGAGAACTTGTGCCTTACTTAAAGAATATTTACACTTAATATATTACATAACTTTTAGTGCTTTCTATGCCAAAGATACACTGGTGGCCTATAAACCTTTTAGCTCTAAGTTTAAAAAGGAATAGTTATGGGATAGTATAACTTATTGCAACATGGTTCATCACTGCTTTATTTTAAATAATACAATTTACAACACTCACAAATTAAAAGTGGTAATTATATCAATAATAAACAGCATCTCAATGGTAGTCATTAAACACTATGTTGAAAATGAATTGTATAACTTGTGAGTGGGCATGGTAGTGAAAAACTGGGAGACAGTCAGGGAAGGGGAGCCACTGCCCAAAAAGAAATGTACTCACTACCTGACCTATATAACTATAACCCCTCTGTACATCACCTTTATAACAAAAATTAAAAATTTAAAAAGCAAGAGTATCTTCTTATATTTGTAAACTGATTTATTTTGAGGTTCAATTCAACAATCATTTCTTTTCATAATGCTTTTTGAGTTACTTAGGGTTTATGAAATGCTATAATGTCATCAAATACCTAAAACAAATGATGTCACTTTATAAAAAGTAAAGACAAAAAAATTCTCCTAAAAAGAAATTATTGAATAATAGGCCAAGTCATAATTTTCTTCATAGGATAGAAAATGTCAATATATGCATCAGTCTTTTAAAATACAGTTGTTGGAGAAGTCCATAAGTCAACTCTCCTCTAAGTTTTATTCCCTTGGAAGAGGATACAAATTTACGAATTTCAATGCTTCAATGTCAATAGTATTGATAAGAAAGAATTTAATATTAAAATTTGGGGGGGTTGCAATACATTTTCACTGTATAATTCAGGCTGGCATTGAACTAATGATGTTCTTGTTTCAGAATTCAGTGTTGGGTTTACAGATATGAGCCACCATGCTCTACTGGAAAAGTATGTTTTAAAGAAATGATGTAGTATTTGCGAAGAGTTGAAAATAAAATTTTATACAGGGTATAAAACTTAACAGCCTGTTAAGTTTTCATGTATTCTAAATAAAGTAAACTTTGTCATTTCCAAATATAATTATGGATTCTAAATGAGCTGCCTAAAATACAGAAACACTCCCAAATGTGGATGCACACTAATAGTAAAAAGGAAGAACATATGACCTGCTCATTTTGAACAATAATGTAACTATGGCTATAACAGAATTGTATTTAAGACTGAGTGTTCCTACTTATTACAAAACTGAATTACAATGTTAAACATAAAAAATACAACAAAGAAGAAAAAACCCTGTATAAGTACAAAATGAGAAACCTTTCTGTATTATAAAAATGTTCAGCTTCAAGGGAAGGATTTTAAAGCATTTTGAGTCTAGTGCATAAGGTAAAAATATATAGACTTAAGCTGGGCAGTGGTAGCTCATACTTGTAATCCTAACTATCAGAAGGCTGAAATCTAGGGATTGTGGTTTGAAGCCAGCCCTTGCAGGTAAGTCCACAAGACTCTTATATCAAAGTAACTATCCAAAAGGCAGCTATACCAGGTGCCAGTGGCTCACACCTATAATCCTAGCTCCTCAGGAGGCTAAGATCTGAGGATTATGGTGTGAAGCCAGCCTGGGCAGGAAAGTTCATGAGACTCTTATCTCCAACTAACAGCAGAAAACCAGAAGTAAAGCTGTGGCTCAATGTGGTAGAGTGCAAGTCTTGAGCAAAAAAGCTCACAGACAATACCCAGGCTCTGAGTTTAAGCCCCATGACCCAAAGGGGGAGAAAGAAAGCCAGAAGTAGAGCTTTGGATCAAATGGTAGAGTGGTAGCCTAGAGCAAAAGAGCTTGGGGATAGTGCCTAGGCCCTGAGCTCAAGCCTTAGAACTGGCACTATGTATCAAATATCTGGAATATATATTTCATATATATATGTATATATACATATTTGAAATTGTGCTATATTTGAAATTGTGCTATGCCATATTAATGAACTTAGATAAAAAGAAAAACTACATTGTTTCTTGCCAAACTGAATTAAAATAATGTTCTTTCAGTGGCAGTATTTAGAGGTAAGTTAGCCTATATGGTGTATACTTTAATCTTAGAGGTATAATGATTAATGTTTTGCAAGGGCATTCAGAAAATAAATATAAGGATTATTGGGGGACTGATGACAATGAAATGCTGTATACGTGAAACTACTTAGAACAGTAAATTCAGTGATTTACTCTATAGAAGAGTGTTATGAACTAGGAAATTTAGTATCAAAGGAGTTTCCAAAGCAGCATACTTAATATTTGTTAGCAAATGTTATGTTAATGATTTATTTTATTGTGTTCATATATGCTTGTTATTCTTCATCACTATGTGAAATATATACTTATTAACATGTTGCCTGCAATCTATTTCCTGATATGTTGTTTATGAGATGTCTATCTCTTCATAATTCCCTCAAACAAGAGTAGTATTTTAAAATGTCACT